GCAGCAACCAGGAGGACAGAAAGCCATGTCCAGGCCCAGCCCCTTCACCGGAAACAAATGGACGAGCCACCGACACTAGCATGTCGACGCACGCATCTGCGCGAACGAGCGCGATATCCAACGCTCCAAGAGATGGTGAAATCTCTGGCACTCCCGTGCAATGGGATCAGATCCACACGGGGAAACCGGCAATCACTGCGGGCCGCATATAGCTGGCCAGAGCGGAGGTCAGGGCCACGGGGAGTAGACCGCAGCCGCCGACGAAGACCTCACCGGGATCGCGCGAGAACGTGAAGTTCCCGACAGAAAGGCGCGCTGGAGCGCTCCCCGGGACCGGGAATGAGACCGAGACTGCCACATGGTAGGTAGGTAGTCGACAAGAAACAGGCACGACAGAAGGAAGCCCGATCTCTCGCAGCGCCAGCAGCAGCGTCGAAAGGGAAGGCCACAGCCGCGTCCCTCGAGGGCCCCGCGAAGAGCAGCGATCACGCTGACCGCGGCTCCAGGGAACGGGAGATCGTATGCGGACATTATTATTCCTGCGAAGCAAAATATCAAGTTGAAAACTGCGAGGATAAAGGAGGTCCGCATGCAGAGAGCGATCACCGGAGGTGTGAATATTACGATCCCGGCAAGAAGAGCGCGGAGAAGGCATACCAGCTGGCCGGTCGCTTGCGCAAACTCTTCCACGATGGTTCTTCTGGGAGTGAAAGTACCCCGCCCTACGAAGATGGTGAAGGTCCGTATCAGCGGACTTGACGACTCGGTCACCTCGCCGAGGTGGCGTCAGCGATGGCATCGGCGGGAGACTGTGATGTCTCCGAGATAAAGACCGGAGATGTCAGACGTCGCATCCCGATGAGGATAGGGAGTGTGTGGCTACGGTGTTCGGTCACAGCGGCAAGGAAGATTACCGTCGCTGGTAGAGCCCACGTAGGATGGGTGTTGACGCGAGTGGAGGCGCTGAGCATCCGCCTCCCAATGCTTCCGTGCAGCTATCCTCTCGCCCTTCCGAAACGGACCGCAGCGGTTGGTGCTACAGGTACGGGGCAGTAGGGCACTGGGCGCGCGAATGTACTGCCCCTGTCAGGTGACCGCTCTGCACGGAACTGAGTAGGCGAGCAGATCGTTACCTCGGCAGTAAGGCTGCTAGCCACCTGTCAAGTACGTTCCATCTTAGAGGAAGAAAAATGCGGCCGTGAAGAAGCCATGGAGGTTACGGTTTGATGGCCTAGCCAGGCCGCATTCTCCAAGCCAACGTAAATCGTTCGGCCAGGACGCAGAAATCCTGCAGACCATGGACGAGCGAGGAGCGGATTTGGCTGCGACAGCAGAGCCACATAAAGTCCCCGACAACTCCGGCTGATCAGGACGGGGTCCAGAGTACGGGGACCCAATTCCGGGAGGTTAAAAACGGGGATGCGGATATGTTGTGGAACCATGGAGCGGCATGATCGTCGCTAGGATATACGCCTCTCCGAACGAGTCACTCCAGAGGCTGTTGAACGGCTTGCACGACAGTGTTACGCGGAGACCGTCGCAGCAGGTAATGGGGACTTCAAAGCGAAGTTCACGCTTTGGGGTTCACCTCGGACCGGTATATTCGGTAGCGGATTGGGCAGCCGGGTTGAACATCCGCCTACTGAACTCCGGAAGAACGAGCAGCTGCGTTCGCTGGCAGGGAGAATCTATAGTTGATCTATCGTGGACCTCCTCTGCAACAGCGCGGAGAATAGCGGAGTGAAAAATGGCGGTCGAGCTGGAGCCGCTGATCGACCATCTCTACATCGTCATTGACCTTCATCTCGCCCGAAGAGGAAGAAGAGGAATCAACGGTCATCATCTGGAAGATCCGCCGCTTGGGAGATGGGTCAGGAGGCTCGGTGAAGACATGCTGATGGCTGCGGCCCACGGCGCCGCATGGGCGGAATCGATCACCGACCCCGCCCGCAACGTCGACGAGTATGCCGACTGGTTGCAGCGCAAATTCGCAGAAATCTGCGACGCTCCCGTGCCAAGCGTCAGGCGAGTGCACCGCGACTCGGTCTACTGATGGATGAATAAAACTTGGATGGGAGAATAAAACACTTGTTCGACAGCTGCCTCAACACTGCAAGAGTGCCGAAATGTTGAAAGACAGCAAGGCTGGTGCTCCTCCTCAAACTACGGAAGTTACAGGACTTACCATCTGCTTATAGGCCCATCTGTCTAAGTAGGACGCCATCGAGTAATATAAGGACGCCATCGAGCGCGTAATAAGTCAGGCAGGGTGAGCAGTGCGCCAGGACGGAGTGGCGCTTGCGGGTTCGATCGACATCGTCAACGCGTTCAACTCCCTGCTCTGATCGAGGATTCGAGATGGCCTTGTTCGTCATCGTGTACCCTCTTACTTCTGGAGAATAGTCAGACACTATTTCGCTCGGAGGGCCGCGGAGTACACCCCTGCTAACCTGGGTGGAAGGTGTGGCCACTATGCTGGGTCGAATTCTCTCCAACATAGGCGGCTCGGATGACAGGGTTCACACTCGTAGGCTTTACACCTCGGTGATGTCGATGGCCCTGTACGATGCACCCATCTGATTTCAGGGTCTAACCGCTAAGGATGCCAGTGCCAGGATGCTGCAAAGACTCCAACGACGAATGGGGATCCAGATCGTGCGAGAGTACCGCACGATTTTCGAGGAGGCGGCCCTAACCCTAGCTGAGTGTATCCCGTTCGACCTTCAGGCGAAGATGGGGGCGCAGATGTTCCAAGGGAAACGGGACGCGCGACGCTGGGACCAAGAAGCTTGGGATGCTCGCGATCGCGAGACTGCGGGCCCAACAGCGTGCCCTCCAGGAGTAGAGGACGGAGCTGATAGAGAGCGGAGCTGACAGCAGAAGAGTCTTTGGAGCCGTTCTATCCAACTGGACGGATTGGATGGAACAAGGAGCGAGAAGGACAACGTTTAGGATCATCCAGGATCTCACCGGGCATGGATGCTTCGGTGAGTATCTGAAGA